TTATACAAGTTTTAAGCCGAGCAATCAGACGGAAGTGGGAATTACATTGGCTTGCATTGAAGGCAAATGATTTTGTAAATATCAAAAATGAGTTCTCTAAAGAAATGACGAATATAAACCTGAGCTAAGCTAAGCAAATGCCCATTAACCAAATTGATTAAATTGATTTCTATTATTACGTTTTTGTGCTCATCTGAATGCCAGCGAAAATTCATTACACAAATTGATTTGATGTCGCATATGAATTCCATAAAGTTTTCCTCCCACACATACGCAGATATATTGATGGATGAGCAAAGGGCAGATGAGTTCAGAGAGAGTTCTCTCTATGCAAAGAAACATAGATATATGTACACATCTGTGCATATATTTCTAGCATGGGATATTGAAAGAAACGAAAACACTCTTAAATATAACACAGTGCGATACCAAGTGTTAATATGAAAAAGTAAATAAGGTTTATAAATAAAACTTAAAAAAGCTGCATTCGCCCTGAATTTCTTAAACTGTTTTCCCCATCAAAATCCGCAAAGGAATTGTGAAATTATTTCATTTTCTTGACTAATTTATTCGACTTGAGAAAAACTTAATTATTGCGTGATTCACAGAGCATTAAACGGTAGTCTTAAAGCTGTATAGACTGCAGTAATGCCCTTCTATGTGATGCTCAAAAATTGGAGGATTGAATTTAATATGAATTGAGCAAAACAAATTGATGCTGAAGAAAAGTAAGGAGAGTTAAAAGTGAAGAGAGCAAGAGATAAGATAGAAGGAGAAGTAAAGGATACACTAAGAGAAAGAGTAAGTGGGAGAAAGATATATATAAAGAGAGAGACAGAGTGACTAAAAAATAGAGAAAGTAAATGTGAGCAAGAGAGAAAGAACGAACGATCTTTCCCCACTTATATCCCACGATAGAAATAACGTACAATTAATAATTTACGATAGTGTTTTGTGCATTTATTTGCCCAGAGAGGGCCAGAGAAATATATTTCTGAACACAAGACTCTCTCTAGATAACTTATATCTAAATGTCAACAATTTCAATTTATATATTCATAGCTGTTCAGTCTATTTGCATCTATTGGATACAAAAGAAGCGTTTGGGCCAAGCGCCGCTTGTGTTTAAAGGCGCTAAAATGTATGCATACTAAACACAGATAGCGAGGGACAGTAAGTAAGAGAGAGAGCGAGAGAGGAAAGACAGAAACACCTGCGATCACTTACATCAGTGTTATTGCAGCCATGAATTTGACCATCTTCGGCATTGTTTGTGATAGTTGTTGTTGTTGTTGCTTCAGCCATTTTGTTTGATATTGTTTACGTTGTTTTTCTAATCCACAGAGAGTGTTAATTATTGCACGCCTTTTAACTAAAAAGCAGTAAACATTTTAGGGTTATACGAATTTCGGTTTTAACTGCATCGAACGAGAGATGGCTTCACAAGCAAGCACAATTTGATTTTGGCGCAATAAATTTTGGTTGATGTTATTGAGTCTTTATTTCTGATCTGCTAAGTCTACAAAATGGAACAGGTTTACACTATAGATTCAATAATATTTTCGTTGTTGTTATGCATGTACATATAATTATGCTGGTCTTATAATATATTTATATATAAGTACAAAATTAGGTCTGCGGACCCACAGCAAAGCGAAATACACTAAAAATTATAAATGTTTTTTTTTTTTGGCATTTATATGCACATGACTAATGGAAGAGAGAAAGAGGGAGAGAGATAGAGCGAGTGGGAGAGAATCCAAATGGCGATGGCCAATCTTGTTTTCACGTTTGCGACGTTGATTCGATTCTTAGCTCACGAGCAAAAGCAAAAGGCTGTTGCTTTATGTTCACACATATATACATACAAGCACACACATATAGGCACATACATAGATACATATATATACGATTGTTATTTTTATATAATTAACACATTTTCACAGAAAAAAGAAACGCACGCGGCATTTATATTTTTGTTATATATATGTGTGTACATAATTCAATTATTCATTTATTTATCTCTCATTAACAACCCAACGCGCAAAAAATATAATAACAATAACAACAAATACGAGCGAGCGAGCGGGTGAGCACAACGCACAACAGACCATACTAATGCAGAAACATGTTCTACGTCAGTCTTTTCCACTTTCATGTGATTGTATTTGTACACCAAAAGCAAGAACAACACGACGGCTGCCGCTGCCTGTAACGGGAGCTCTCGCGTTCTAAGCTAAACTAAAAATTTCTGCTCCAATACAGTGTGGCCAAATGTAAAAAGTTTATAAATGCAAAGAGAGCAAAGTGGTGTGCAACGAAAAGCTTTTAAGCAGCAGCTCTTATTAATGGGACTAATATGTAGTTGCACAGATCATACATACATAACACAATAATATTCTACGTACATATTAGTGTTTGTAAATATATATAGAAATACAAATTAATTTAGTAAGCAGTGTGTCCATATTGTGCAAGTGTATCGTTTACAGTATTTTTTAAACACTGAAAGGGAAAAAGCTTTTCTCATATACGCGCGAGCTTTTTAAAACTGGCAGCTGCTGTGCGAACAAGTGGCAAGGCAAAGAAAACAAAAACATATGATTTGAAGTAAATAGATATATATCAGTGTGTGTGTGCGTAAAGATGTGAATGAAACGCACAAACAAAATCAACTCCAAAATATGCGTCAAGCAATTACAATTAGCGTTTGTTTGCAACCGGCTTACGTCAAGCATTTCTAGTCAACTATATTTAAATAGTTAGATTTATGATAATGACAAATGATGTGGTTAATGTACATATTCGTGACGTTGACAGTTGTGTCTGTGACGCAATTATCTAGACTTTGGCTAAAAGCTCGCCCACTGGCACATTCAAATAGAAAAGCGCGCTAACTGCAGCTTGTTAAGTTTTTAGAGGTCGCCTGCCACGCCCCTAGCGGGTTAGCACAAGCGCGCTAATGAAGATAAAAAGCGATTGCTCTCGGACTAGCTAGATGGCTGTCTGCGTTAAATGAGTAAAGCAAACACAGTGAATGCTCGAAAGAGTAAACGCCCGCACATTATTATTTGCTTTAATGACATCTATGTTAATTGCTTTTGTCTGTGCAGTCCTCACTGTAATCACTCAATTAATTTCATTGAGAGCTCAAATTACGCACATTCAAATCAAACAATTGCTGTTTATGTATTCAATTAGCAAATAAATTTTGCAACTTCTGCTGGAGTGCTTTTGACTGTCATTGTTTATTATTGTTTTAGAGCGTAGAGCAATTATAAATTGTTTGTTTACTGTGCATAAGTGCAAAGGAAACGCATTTTCAGACACATTCGCAGCAGCCACCCAGAAGCTAGAAACGTGCCTTCCACACAGATCTGTGGAATTTGATAATCAGAGTTAACGCTTATCAAGCACGTCGGCTTATCTCGAAAAGTTCACAAATACATGTTGAAAGTGAACAAAAAATAAAGATGAATGATTTTTTTCAACATTATTTTGGGGAAAATGGCATTGTTCTCAGAATTAAAGGTAATTTTTAAAGCGAGTCATGCCTGTTTATAGGGCGAATTCCCATATTGTCTTTTTTTTTTGATAAGATCCATTGTAAAAATATCATGAAATACACAAATACATAAACATATATAATCAGTAATTAAAGCAAAGCACGCTGATAAAAAGACGAATATTTCCGTACGCCACCCCAAACCGGCAGAAAGCCGCTGACCTTTACACACAGCCCAACCCACCTTCAGCCTACTCACCACTACGTTTACAGCCCAACCCAGCCCAGACCACATCCCTTTACTCACCACTACAGCCAACGATCTACGTGGTGTATGTCCGTTGTTGTAGTCCAGGCGCTGTTGTTGTCCCGCCACAGAGGCGGCGCGTCGACGTGGCGGCGGGCGTGGCACATCGGCCGTAGACGAGGATGCAGCCGCAACACTGCCGCTGCTACTGTTGCGCGCCGACATGGTGTGGCCTACGATCTGCAGCTGCAAGATAAGAAAAGACGCCATGAAGCAGATAAAAAGACAACGGAAGTGCATCTTTAATTAAAAAAAAAGAACAAACAAAAAAGTGCTTAAGCACTAACAAAGGCTAGAGGTGAGAACAAATGGAAGCTGCTGCACAGCAAGGCCGAAAGCAGCAGCAGCACCAGACAACAAAGACGTAGAATGAACGGTACTTGTAAGACACACACACGAACATAGACTCAAAGAGTGAGAGAGCCATATGCATACAGGTACAAGTGTATGTGTGCACATAGAATACTTATGGGCAACAAAGCATAAAGCCAAGTAATTATCCAAGCGCGAAAGGTTCAACGCCGTTTCGACCTGGCCGGCTTTCGCGATGGTATCCAAGTTTTAAACTTATTCTATATGGTTTTATCTTAAAGTAAAGCACATACACATTCAGCCACACACAGATAATGACTTTCGTGCTTACTTGCACAATAATTTCGTTTGATTTATGTTGTATTTTTAACTAAATTGTTCTACTATAAATGTGCGCATGTATATGTGCAATTTATGAATGCATACATATGCATGTTTGCATGTGTCTGTTTGTAAATGTGTGTGTGTGTGTGTGTGTGTGTGTCAGCAAATAGTTGGGGGAAAACTCATCTCACATACATCTTTTCGCACTGCCAACTGCACGGTACGCTTCGATTTTGTTGTATTCGCGTGTCAACAGTAGATCGCGTTTACATCTTTCGTTTCACATATAAATAAATTGATTGTTTATTTTTTTGCACAAATATTACAACAATTTTTTGAACTTTCACGGCTAAACACGCCCGACAAAAAACGACAACTAACTAATTCCGATATACCTGCTGATAACTTTTCAGCTCAACTCTGCAGAACTCTGCACAATATTATCGATATATTTGTAACTCGGTGCTGTTAAATATGTTTTCAACTGTCAGTTAAATGTTCTTAGAAATCCGAAATGGCTAACTATAAATCTGCTTAAAAAAGTGAAATGCAACTTAAATGTATATTTTTTTACGGCAAGTAACAATGAGTATTTATATTAAAGTGAAGGAGTTCGCGCTCTTTTCGCATTGGCTGATAAGTATTTTCAGTTACCAGTGACGATACAAATACGAGTGCCACGATATTCGCTGATGGCTCGTCTTCTCAGTTTTTTGTTTTTTTTTTTTTGAATGTAAATATCGTCCGTCTCTAACGAAAACGTAAATGCGAAAGGCAGTGAAAAATTTAAACGAAACAACAAAAATTCTTTTAAATTCAATGGAGTATTAACATTTAAAGGTCATTTCATGTAAATCAAGCAAATCCAAATATCCCAAGCTAAATTTTGCAATAGCAAAATAATATAATTTACGTTCTATATAAACAAGCGTGCGATAGTGCGTGGTAATTGCGTATTAAACAACAAACTGCAAACGCTGGCAAAAACTGAAGCCGAAAAAGAAAGAAGAAAACCCAAAAGGCAAAAAATAAAACAGAACAGAAAATATTTTTGTGTAGTTCGCGATTAGTTTCTTATTACATGGGTCTAACAGATCAAGATTGGATTGGCTGTGCGGTCAGCCTGACCTGCGACGACGAGCTGGGCGTATTCCAAGGATTAATTAAGAAAATCTCAGCCGAAGAGATAACCATTGTGCGCGCCTTTCGCAACGGTGTTCCATTGCGCAAACAGAACGCCGAAGTTGTGCTCCGCTGTGCCGACATCAAGAGCATAAACCTCATTGAGCCAGTGAAGGATGCTGAGACGACGACGCCGACTGTGATTAATAAGCCGACGCCTGTTAAATTGCCGCATTTTTCTAATATATTGGGAAAGCAACAGCTGCAACATCAACAACAACAACAACAACAACAACAGCAGCAGCAGCAGCAGCGAGAACAGGAGCTGCCTGTCCATGGTAGAAATGGTGCAGTAGCAGTAACGAGTGCTGGCAGCCATTCAGCTTTGAGTGATAAAATGCAACAACTTATGCTCAGCTCAAATGGCAATGCTGCAAATGGAATACGAAGGTAACATATACCTCTTAACTAAGCTGTGTGTCCTTTTTTAACTTCCTTTTTTTTACAGAACACCGCAAAGCTCACGTGCTTCGAGTGCAATGCAGCAGCTTGCAACGACGCCGAATAGTGTTGCCGCCTTTTTTGGCAACATGATACCAGCCAAGGTAGAGGTGAAGCTGGGCAGCACGGCCTACAATGGAGGAGGGACAGGTGGAGCTGGAGGTGGTGGGAGCAACTTGGAGAGCTACTGCAGCAGCAGTGCCGATGGCAGTTGCGGCAGCGGCGAAGTAGCAGGCTGCAGCAGACCTATTGATATTGTTAACAATAGCAATGGTCAAACTAATGGCGGCTACTGCAGCCAAGGGGCAACCAGCTATGGTAATAGCAAACGTAATGGCAATGGTAATGGCAACGGTAACGGCAGCTACAACTCCAGCTCTTACAATGGCAATGGCAATGGTAATCCAAATATGAAGAAACAACGCAATCGAGTGCGTCGCGAAAGCAGTATGCGATTGCAGCAGCAGCAAACATTTGGCAGCGAAGCTGATGATCCACTGCTGCACGAGGAATTCGATTTCGAAGGCAATCTAGCGCTATTTGACAAGCAAGCGATTTGGGATGACATTGAGTCGACGCACCAGAAGCCAGATGTAGTGCGTCATGCGGTCCATGTGCAGAAGCAAAAACAGCAGAAGAAGTATCGTCACGATGAGAACATCTTGGCTAGTAAGCCGTTGCAGTTACGTCAAATTGAGAGCATTTTCGATGGGAGCAAGGATTTTGTTACGGACGATGGACTCATCATACCGACTATACCGGCCTATGTGCGCAATCGCATAGAGTTAAGTGCCGAAAAGGCGGGCTTATCGCTTCAGCGACAGATAGATATTTTAGCACGTGGTGCCAGCGATTTGGCCATCACATTACTCGGCGGTGCACGGCGTTTGACGCCCACTAACAATCACCAATGGCCGAAGATTGCCATCATTTGCGATGGCGTTAATACCATGAGGTCAGTTAGATGACTATCTATATTTTAATATTCAAATGGTATAGCTATTGTTTATATCCTTTACAGAACAATCAACATTGGCGCTGTTACAGGTCGCCTTTTGGCCTCGCATGGTCTAACTGTTCTACTTTATGTGGAGAATGCGCAACTTATAGAAAAAAACAACAGCTTGGAGGTTGCTTTATTTAAAGCTACTGACAACACCGTAGTACATTCGGTGGACGGTACGAAGTCATTATTTAAATATTATATATACGTTCTATTCTAATTTAAGAGTTGTTCTTCACTGTTTATAGTCTAAGCTTAAAAGAAATCTACTCTAACCTATAAAACATCTCCATTTAACAGCTATGCCCACACCAGATCTTGTGATACTATCGACAAATACCGTTAATCTATCGGATGCTATAAAACAATGGCTAAGCGTCAATCGGTAAGTCTTACTTCTTTTTTTTTCATATAATCGCACTAACGCTTCTTTCGTTTTAGCGCCTCGGTGCTTGCTGTGGATCCGCCACCATGTGGCATTAAGGATGTGGCTATCAAGTACTCAATTTTGCCCATTCTACCATTGAGCCATGATTCTAGCACTTCGGCTGCTGCTGCAGCAGCAACGGCAACAGCAACAACTAAGACAACAACGAATAATTGTGGCAAATTGTATTTATGTAATTTAGGTATACCAGATAAATTTTATCGTGATTGTGGCATTAAGTACAAAAGTCCATATGGACATAAATATGTGATACCGATTCACTCAAAGGACTGAAAACAAAAAAAAATCAGATAACATAAAAACAAACATACAAACACACAAACAACAAGAACAACAATCATCAAGAACAACAACAGACATCAGCAATAAACCATAAAGAAACAAACAACACACATGTGATGATCATCAAAGTCCTGTTTCCTGTGAATCTAGCTAGCTCTTAGAAGTCTCTCATATACAACTCACATTTAGTTTTTAATCAACGGCGCATACATATATATATATAAATTAAGCTTATTCCTAAATTTCAAATCCCTATTGAGCTGCCCTAGCCTAGTGCCGAACTACATTCATAACATCGTATCTATATTTATTTAAATAATTAATATATATATTTTTTTTAATTGAATGTTGTACAAATCCTTCAAGCTAGTCCATTACGTTTGCATTTCCAAAATTTTCTACTACATTTGATGAATCTAGCTCCCACCCACCCGCAACAACTATCCCATATGGAGTCTATAGCTTTAACAACATAGATAACCTTAAAATTAAAAACCTAAACAAAACAAACAAACTGGTCTTCAGAGCAAATTTTAAACAATGCATTGAACAAATGTTAAAATGTAAATAATTGTGTATATTTGCATAATTGTTTTTGTATATGTATATTTGGAGAATATCTCAATTGAATTGACTTTATGTGAGATTGAGCGAAATATACGCAATACATGCCAAATTAAATGTCTATATATTTTAAGCATAAAATCAACAACTATTATACATACACACATCTATATATATAAAGTACTTTTCATAAACAATACAAATACAATTACAAATCAAATTCAGTAAGTTAGTTACGTAAGCTTAACGTGTTTAACAACAAGACAAACAAGCAAACAAACAAACAACTTTAACTTGTATTTAGCGTTAGATTTTAAGCAAAATTGTAAGCTGTAATAACGATAAAGAAATCAACATTATTTTGTACACCCCATCGACAAATACTGATGAGTTTTAAACAAAATTCAAAATCTGAATAAGTACTATATATATATATATATATATACAAAAGAATCCAATCAAATAGCGAAAAAAGTTAGTCGTTGCTAAAACTCAATAATGCAACCAAAAAACCTTAACTAATTGTTGTAAAAATTAATATTATAATGTAGTTTCTAAATTTCAATTGTTGATGATCAGTCTTAAATAATTAGTGTTTCGTACTTTAAAAAAAAAAAAACAAAAAACAAAAATACGAAACAGTTTTTAAGCACTTTTCATTAAGGGAAAAGCGCCTTGTGACTGTTTTTTTTATTTGGAGTTAGAAGTAGGCAAGTTGACAGGACATTGAAACGATGTTAGATGGAGCAGAGGAAGGTTGAGAAGGTATTTCCAACAAATATACACAAACAAATACAAACACACATCCCCACACACTCACACACACATACTCAGACAACTCGAAATATACACTCAGTTTTTGATAAATGCTTTAAATGAAATTGTAAATTAATGAAAAGAAATCTATTTTCGGTCCAATTGTAACATAATTTTAAAGAAAATGTAACTTAAAATTGAAAAAACATTCTGACAAATCAAAAATACATATAAAAACACAAGTTAACTAAATGAAACAAAAGAAATATAATGAAAAAAGATGAAAATCCTTTACAACTACAATATTAAAGAAACAAAACACCGAAAAGCCTTCTCATGGAAAACAGAAAGGAAAATTGTGTTTTTATTTTGGGAAAAAATGTGGGAAGAGGATAGATAATATCCTATAGATATTTAACATATTAAAGGTATATGTTTGTATTAAGCCAGCATAATATTTCTAGATCTCTTTAATCCCATCTTAAGTCCAAACTAGATTATATATATATCTTCACATTGTCTTTGCTTATATGATATCTTTTTAATAATAATTTTTATATTTTTTTAAATTGGGTTGTGCTCTTCGAAGGCACTTATTGTTTACATATATATTTTTAATATATATCTATATTTCTTTTAGAATTGTGTATAAACATAAACATCGAGTCCTTATTTTCAAACGAAATACTTAAACTTCATTTGATTTCTCTTAACAAATAGATAATACAACAAACTATTTCAATTGTGATTGTGCATATATATAAATTGTTATAATAATGTATAGTAATCCTAAGTGTGTCCTTGATTTTCGTCCATTCTGAAACGCTTCGTTTGTTGGTCCTCGTAAACCTCTTCTCGACTACGTTTGGCAGTTGCTTGCAACTGCACTGTGATTACATTGAAGGCTTCCATTTCAACTGAGACAATTTTCATTTGGGGCTTTAAGAGCTGCTCCTCAAAACCAGAATCCGGACTGGACCAGTTGCTGCTCTCCAATAGCTGTTGCTCCTTAACAGCTGTTGTAGCCTGATAATAGTGATATATTACAATAAATTCCACACATGGCTCTACCATCTGCTCTGTATAGCTAGTCAATTGGGTTAGATAGGGCGTCCAGCGCTTGGGAATTCCGCACACCTGTCTCGTAGCTGCAATGCAGCTGGCAGCTAGCAGGGAAGGCGGCTCATTACAAAGACTGTTAACTACATAAGTTAAGATTTGTTTAATATAAATTTAGATAGATATCGTATTTCAGCTTACTGCACAGCGTGTAATCGGAAATGCGCAGCAGCAGCTGAGCGAGTGTGGCCAACATTTGCTCAAAGCAATTAAAGCGCGGATAGTTGACTGCCAGCGAGGGGTGCTCATCGAGTTGCTGGCAATAGGCTGCATAATCTTCGCGTGTCAGGAAGCTGCAGGCAAACATTTCCACAAAGCTCGCCGTCGTAGGTCGCATCAAATTGAACTCGAAGAAAGTAAGCACCTTACGCTCCACGGCCTTGTACTCGAAAGCCGTATAAGAATTCTTTATCAGGCGATTCATTTCACTGTAGCGCGGCACAAACGCATCCTGATTCTCGATCTGTGCAGCTATGTGCAGGCAGGTTAAGGCAATCAGCTGCAGTTTGTCCACTCGGATGGTATAGAAATCAATCAGCCTGTCCAGATAATAAATGGCTGAACATACATAAAGGATACTTTAGACTTATAGAAATGTACATCTAAAAACTTGTTTGCACTTACCCAAATGCAAAGCGGATCGACTCAATCTATAGGTCCTCGTGATCAGTTGGCAAAGCTGCAGCAGCTTTGGCCGCTGGTCCATTTGTGTGGACATATAGAGTACGGGACGACGACGCATCTCTGACTCCTTCATCGTTTTGAAGATGTCGATTGCATAGTCGCTCAACCATTGCAATTTCGATAAGCGCTGCGAAAAGTAGTCCCTGCTTAACTTTCTTAGATATCACAACTTATTCAATTAACTTACTTCAATTTGATTTCTTTCATGCTCATTTTTTTCGCTGAGCATAAAGATGTTTTGTTCTAACGCAGGTTTTGTCATTTTCTTCGTGTGTTAATTTAATATTTTTTTATTTACTATTTGAATTGGTTTGCAGAAACTCATTGCGGATGGGCGCACAAAACATGCAGTCAAAAACATGGCCGGCACTAACGGTAAAAGCACAGTGTGTACACACTGTAAACATAACCGTTAAGTGTTTAATATTTGCTGCAGTTTAAGGAGATGTAGAGATGAGCACGATATAGCACGATACAGCACCTTACAGCACGAATAACGAGTCAGAATCATGCACATGCACATGCACATCAATTTCTTTGATAGACACATAACTCGATGTTACCAACAGGTAATCATTTATTAACAAATGTATATACTCATATAATAGCTAAAATACTAAAATAACTATGCTCGTGAGTCTCGACGCGATCTTAAAACGATGATCCCGTAACGAGTCACGCAAAGAATCCATCACTAGGCAGCATAACAATGCCCTAAACGATAATAAAACAAAGTTTATTAAAAAAGTAAAAATTTATTTGGAAGTTCAACTTCTATAATTCAGGGGAAATTGTTGAGTCAATGATGGAATGCTTACATATGTATATGAAAATAAATTCGTCAGTAATTTAATTTGTTTTTCTTTTTTGATTCGAGACTTTGGATTAATCTAGCCGATCAGGAACTTTTGGTTAGGTATTCTATATATTATATGGCCCGTTGGCACTAAGGCACTAAATCAGAGTAGTCGGAATGATTGCTGTCAGATTCATCGCCCTGCGAACAAATCGACGCAGGCATCTCACAGCCAAAGTACGCATTGTTGTTGGCACAGAAAAGAATCAAATGACGCCAGCAATCATCGACAGCGAGCAGGAGAGGATTACCAAAGATGACCAGCAGACAACGAGCGCGAGAGATGGCAACATTCATGCGCTTATTGCAACGTACGAAACCCAAGCTGAGGCGCGCATCAGATCTTAGATTGGATTCTGAGGAGCGCACTGTGGATATGAGCATGATGTCTCGCTCCTAAAAGACCAAAGAAGATAAACTTAAATATGGACAAGTTAACGATCAACTGCTTACCTGTCCCTGAAACTCCTCCACAGAGCCAATCTTTGGCATAGATACATCGGCAGCAATGAACATCGTGCGTAGACTTTTCACCTGTTTGGCATAAGGTGTCAATATGCCAATTTGTTCAGGTAGCACATTGCGACGATAGAGTAGAATGGTCAGAAGAAAGACTTCGCGTGCTTCTGCAGGATTATACCAGGAGGGCGAATCAATATCCTGCATATTTTCACCCATGATGCCGTGAAAGAAGGTGCCATGAGTTCGTGGCATGTCACGATTTGGCTCGAAGATTGCTTGCAGTTCTGCTAGGAAGCGCGCCTCGCGAGAATTCTCTTCAGAGACCATGGAAATGAGCTCGTTGTCATAGAAGAGTTTACTGTACACAGACATGATGGAGGGCAGTGCACGATAGTTGTACAGTAGCTTAGTCAGCACACTTGGGTTATAGCCTGAGCTGTCGGGAAAGCGTTGCAGGTCCCTGCGATAAGGCGGAGTCTGGAGTAGGCGCTCCAGAAAAGAGGCACCCAGACCCAAATCACTCGCATAGCGACTGGTTACAATCGCCTGCAGCTGGTGAGGATCCCCTGCAAGGATCACTTGACTGCGCTTTCGTGCTAATAGGACAATTGGCACCATTGTTTCGGGCTCTGTACATTGGCCCGCCTCGTCGATCAGGACGTGTGTAAAGTGTTCCGGCAGAAAGTCCATTTGAATAAAGTTACCAAGCGTGGTGCAAGTACTGATGGTAATGCGATGCTTGCCCAAAAACTTGGCCTGGCAACGCAGCTTCAAGCCTGAGTCCGTAACAATCATCTGAAAATGAAGAAATTTGAATATAATCTAGGCTCATATATATCAATCTACTTACGCTATCATGCGCGGAGTCCACGGTGCCTATGTCGACGGTAGCACAGTAAGGCGCTAGGTCTGGCGGCACAAGATCCTTTTCCACCTGATTCTGTGAGACGAGCCGTATAAAATCGCCATGGTTCAAGGCTTTGCTAGCGATAATGCGCTTAGTTATCAGATCTGCGGAACTGTTTGATGGTGTGCCCACTAGGAGGCGGGAGCCGGGAACATTGCGCACCAGCTGCAGGATGGTCTCCACTAGAGTTACAGTTTTACCGGTGCCGGGTGGTCCGAAGATTACGTAGGGCATCTGATCTGCATCGCCTCTCAGAACATTGTAAACAGCCACCTTTTGAATGGAGTTCAGCGAGGTATTGAACCAGTTTAACTTGTCATCATATAGATACATGTCATCACCCTTTAACACGACCTCCAGCTGAAGGTGCTCGCGTTTCCCAACCTTGCTGGGAAACAGAAAGTTGTCGCCCATGTGATCAACAATGCGGGATGTGGCATGATGCTGCTTCCTGAAAGCGAATCTCGAGAAGTGGAACTCCAGACGATAATCCTCGCCATTATATTTTTGCTGAAAATTGGCATTGAATTTCAAATGGACTCTATTAAAGAAGACTTTGTGCACGACTCCCTGGAACAGCTTGTTCTCCTTGCTGTCTGACTCCAACCAGGGATTGATGGCGTTCACCGTGTCGCCCAGCACTAGCGACGGACGACGTTCGGCAAGATTCTCGATTTGTAGTGATAAAAATTCCCCTTCGCGATTGAAGTGAGCTCGCTCTCGATCATAGTTGCGAAAGCTAATGCTATAGTCGATCTCTTCCAGGTGCAGCATCGCTGAAAAGCGTTTCCCATAATTGCCAAAGTTAAGGTTCTCATTGAGAAACGGATACTCCTGACCCAACAGTTCCCTCACATCCGAAACCGACTCTGTTTTAAGCACTATAGCGCACAGCTTTTCAGGCACATCATAGTTGGACAAATGCACCGGTACAAAGCGTCGTTTGGTGGCAATCGATTCGCCTGGCACCAATGGATTTTTATTTGCATACACCTGATAGGCATAGAAGCGGGATCGTTGTCGGGCATTGCGTCCATTAACAATCAGCTGCTCGGAGGCAATCAGACGACGCTTCGCCTCGATAGCCTCCTGGTCCGATTCGCAGACGATGATGGTCAAAAAGCGTGTTACCTTAAACGTGTCGAACTGCAGGCTAAAGAACTCCTTCGATTCGCCAATGAACTTGGTGTACACCTGGAATACCAATGAGATTTGGCTACCAATTGGAATGCTTCTCGAGCTAATGGGCTCTACGACACTGATCTGTGCATCCGCCGCATTTGGTATATTAATGCTGCACAGCTGAAAGGTGCGTTTGCCCTCGTTTTTGATTTTAAGTGTGACATTGTGTTTCTTCCACTGTTCAGTGTAGATGAAGCGATCCTCGCCCTCGATGGCAACTGCTCGCTTACTGCTTGATGAGGAGCTTATCTGATTGTTCTTGATCTGGCCAAAGTTCTTCTCCAGCATAACCAACTTGATGGCACGTCGAGAGTATTTTGCCTGGTTTGTTGTGAGAGCGGAAAAGAGAGATATGTAGCAGACTATGAAATACCCTTGCAAACAATTAGCTGGGCCTATATATATTTATATTTGAAAGAAATTCAATTCCCTTACATATTTGCACTCGATCAGATCTACTTGGACAATATCGCCCAGATGCAATTGATATCCTTTTGGCACATCTTCCTTAAGCACATAGGCGCTCGAGGTGAGTACAGTGAACTCCTCGAATACTCGTTCGACAGTGCACTTCTGATTCGGTTCGATGCGTGTGGGAAAGATCTTCTTCACCTCCAATATTTCGCCTTGTTGATCCACATAGCCCTCGTCTAGCTGCACTTGGCACTCCAACGTAATCTCATCACCCGTTTTGGGTATAAAATTCGTTTCGATGCTGTCCAACTGAACGGTCAACTCCCCGTAATCTGTATCCACTTTAATGGAAGAGGGTAGGCGCTGCGTGATGATGCCCAAAATGTTGCGCAGCTGCATATTGAAATAGGTTGGATGATCTAGCTTCAGGGACTCCAGCATATCCTTAACCTGGCCAGATATGATAGTTGTTATATGAGGTTGATCTATGTATTATGCTCTGTGACTCACCTTTTTCTCCGTTGTTTTCTCCCACGACTGTTCGACTATCTTCTGTATTCTGATTACCTTGATGGCGTCGTCCTCGTCCTGCTGATATGCCAAGTACTCAATCACACACCCCACACTTAGCTCATGGAAGAGCTGTGCTGCAACCTGCTTCTCAAAGCTTAACGAGTTGTCTATAATGCCATTTTGTTCAGTTAAATGTGTGACGACGCCCTTCCGGGATGAACACGAAGTGGGAGTTTCATCGCTATCATTGTCCCCGATGAGATTCGTTTCGTAGGTAACTTTGCTATCACTGCAGCCCTCTTGGTCTAGAAAATCTTGCTCCATGGCCAGCAAATCGCGCTTATGATCCAGCTCATCTTCGTTGTTTTGGAAAATCCGACTCCAAAACGAGAGCATTTTTTCTTCGAATATCCAACTTTATGTATATTATTTATTGTATTGTGTAGTTACTCAATTGTTGCGGTTCTATTCCAGTCTTATCGACTGTTTTCTCTCAATATTATTCGATGCGTTCTTCTTCCTGAGTTTTTTTTATAGTCTTCTTCTCGAATGTTTTTGCTAGAAATGTTCCGTCTCGCTTGCTCCTAATCTCTCCTGAAATCGTGTTCTGCTGCTCTTCTTTCTCTCTTGCAATCTTCTTCTCGAACGTTCCTCCTCGCTCGCTCTTACTCTATCGTTCTATTACTCAAATTCTCAAATTGTATTCTATTGCTGCTGTTTCTTTTCCAGGCTCTCGTACATCCAGTCCGTTTCAATAATATAATTCAGTTCGTTCCGCAGAAACTGCAGTCTATTCAAATGGCTGTCGTTCGACTCCTCTTTGTAACCGCTCTCGCTTGTTATCAACGAAATTACTTTGGTTGTGGACTGGCTGTCGAGTTTTTTTATCTGAAGAGGGAAGGGAGGGAGGAAATTGAATGAAAAACAAATTATATTTTGTATATATAAACATGAGAAGCAGTCCTCAAATTTCAACTGACCTCAGCACTATTGCTGCTGCCTTCCGAAATGCTGGCTGTATTGTTACTCTCGTTGATGCCTGTTGCTTCGCCGGACATAATCGACATAATCCTTTGAGGCTCTCAACAAATATATGAAAATGCTTGCGCTGCAAGTTCATAAAACAAAATGCATTACTACAAATAACTAATATCTAACTCCTATATATACGAATTAAATAATTTGTAATACTAACTTACCTATAAAACCGCTCAGTACTCCTAAATTATACGTTTTTTAGTCTTATTAAGCAGAAACTCAATCGGACATTTGCAAACTTCGAAGCTCGAGACGAAACTGATGGAAGGCGGTCCACATAACCTAAAACATAAGCACAATCCACAAATTGTAAAACATATGTTTTTAGCGTCTTAAGAGTTAACATTATCGTGTAATGTTATTAACAGTCACACAAAAAGTTCATTTAGTTTGGCAAAATATATTCATATACTAAATGAATTTAAACAAAATGAAGTATTATGGTGACAAGAAGAGAATATTGGACTTAAACCACGTACAATTTATATATGTTAACGGTTACAAAAATTAATTTTAACAGGCTTTTCCAAAAACAGTGCTTAGGTTTCGCGAATACTGTTACTATTGTTGCCGGAGCAAAAACAACCTTTGTTACTCCGACTATCGATAGTAAATTAAGTTTACACACTATCGATAGCATTATCGTTTATTTCCTCACCTCTAGCACAGGTGCATCGTATTCGCTAACCAAATCGGCGTGCAAAGAAAAATTCAGAAATTTTTATTTGGCAAAGCAAACAAATTGTGGACTTAACGCATAATTAAGGAGCAATCGTAAGGCGACTGAAAGTAGACCAAACAGCAGCACAAACTCTTTTTAACTGTAAAAGCAGGAATACAGACACTCATCGCCTTCGTCTTTGCCGACTTCGTTTACCTCTGTGTCGCGTTTTAGATTTTTAATAGTGAATTCATTTCGGCGTTTCGTGGGTGTTCAGAGAAGAAGCGTGTTGAGACTACGACAGGAAAGATGGTTAAAGCTAAAAAGGGCAAGAAAGAGATATTGACTAACGTCGAGGGCGCATCATCGGCAGACGAAAAGTTAGTACTATTATTTATGTTGTTGTTGTTGTTGCCACGATGGCAACGTTGGCAAAGTTTTTATTCAAAAACTTCATTACCTATATCTTTCAGTGAAACCGCAGTCTTAGAATCGGACAACGATCAAGTGAGCGCCAACAACAAGAAGAACCAGCAGAAGGGCAAAAACAAGAAGAAGAACAATAAAAATGCCAATGCTTCGGATGAGGGCAGCGAAATCATGGATGATGCCTCAGTTGAGACCATTACAAAGGCTGTAAAAAAGTTGAATGTGAAAGGCAAGGGCAAGGCAAAGTCTAAGAATTTAGATGATGACTCTGCTGATGAGGCGCCCAGTCAGAAGCCGTCCAAGAAGTCCGCTTTTAATTTGTTAATGGACGACGAGGATGAAGATGAAGCGCCAGCGGCACACGATTCACCCGACGAGGAGGAGGAAGAGTTGGTTGCTAAGCCACAGAAGAAGAACGAGAAGAAGGGCAAAAAGTCAAAGCGCAAGGGCAAAGATGATGACGAGGACTTGGATAAGATGCTGGCAGAACTGCAGGCGGAATATGCGGGCGAAGCACCAGCAGCAGTAGCGGCAGCAGAGCCTGAACAGGAAGACCTAAGCAAGAAGTCGAAGAAGGGCAAAAAGCAAGCAACAGCAGCAGCAGCTGCAGCAGCTGTCGAGGAAGCTGAAGCCGAAGATGATGAGAATGATGTAGAGGGAGGAGGCGGCATGAAGACAGCAGCTCAAAAGAAGAAGGAGAAAAAGGAGCGACAGAAGCGAGAGGCGGCACTGGCCAAGCAACGAGCAGCTTTAGAGCCAAAGCAAAAGCCAGCACCCGCCCCTGCAGCAGCGCCAGAACCCCAGCCTGAGCCTGAGGAAGCAACGCCTGAGATTGAAGCCGAAGCCGATGAAGCTTCCGAAGATACTAAGGTGGGCAAGGGCAAGAAAAAAGGCAAAAAGGATAAGAAAGCTGAGGCTGAGGATGATAAAAAGGACACCAAGAAGAAGGGCATGTCTGCTTCGATCGTGGCTGCCATGCAGGAGCAGCTCAAGAAGCGCAAAGAGGAAGAGGAGCGTTTGCAGAAGCTTGAAGAAGAGCGTATCCGACTCGAAGATGAGCGCGAAGAAGCGCGCCTGGAAGCTGTGCGCATAGAAGCCGAGCGCAAAGAGAAGAAAAAACAAAAGGAGGCCGAACGCAAGGCCCGCCTCAAGGCGGAAGGAAAACTTCTGACCAAAAAGCAAAAGGAGGATCGTGCCCGAGCACAGGCGCTACTCGAATCACTCAAAGCACAGGGCTTGGAAATACCCGATCCGAATGATAGGCGTGCGCCAAGACCAGGTGAGTCGGTTATGCTAGATGAATGGTGCATATAATAATCTTGAATACTTTTCAGGCACACGCATAAGGCCCAACAAGAAGAAGGGACCCAAGGATGATGGAGCGGGTGAGTCCAAAGATGACGCACAAAAGGCAGCAGAAGCAGCGGCAGCTGCTGCCGCAGCAGCTGAGCAAGCAGCCAAAGTGGAGGTGGTTAAAGAGAGCTGGGATGCCACGGATAGCGAGGCGGAGCCCGAGGAGGAATCCTCGCAAGCAACTACAACAACGACCAACAACGGCAAAAATGAGCAGCAGGATGAGGGCGAATCCGAAGATGACGATGAGGGAGATACCGATGATGACAGCGATGAGTCGGAGGATGAGAGCGAAGAGTCCGAAAAGGAGGATGCTCAGTTGGCCAACGACCCCGAGTCGCGACGTTTGCGTGCGGAGGCGCGCATCATCAAACGTCAAGCTGACGCCGAGAAGAAACGCACCACAGACGAGTTACGTGCGGGCGTTGTGTGTGTGCTCGGCCATGTGGACACGGGCAAGACAAAGATTCTGGACAAGCTGCGACGCACTCACGTGCAGGACTCAGAAGCAGGTGGCATTACCCAACAGATTGGCGCCACCAATGTGCCCATTGATGCCATCAAGGAGCAAACAAAATATGTTAAAAATGTGGCCAGCTTCGAGCATCGCTTGCCTGGCTTGCTTATCATTGATACACCTGGCCACGAGTCGTTCAGTAATTTGCGCAATCGTGGCTCATCTCTCTGTGATATTGCCATTCTGGTTGTGGACATTATGCACGGCCTGGAGCCGCAAACAATAGAGTCCATACAGCTGCTAAAGAAGAAGAAATGCCCCTTCATTGTGGCCCTCAACAAGATCGATCGTCTCTACGACTGGAAGGTGTTGGCTCGTCGTGATGTCAGGGATGTGATTAAGGAGCAGCAGACGAATACTCAGCTGGAGTTTGAGCAGCGCACAAAGGATGTTATTCTGCAATTTGCTGAGCAAGGATTGAATGCCGCTTTGTTCTATGAGAACACAGATCCCAAGACCTACATCTCTCTAGTGCCAACGAGCGCCATCACAGGCGAAGGCATGGGCAACTTGCTGTTCATGATCACGGACTTCTGCCAGAATATGCTGGCCAAGCGCTTGATGTATTCCGAGGAGCTGCAGGCCACAGTGCTGGAGGTAAAGGCCATACCCGGTCTGGGCACCACCATTGATGCCATTCTGATCAATGGCCGCCTACGCGAGGGCCAGACAATGATCCTAGCTGGCACCGATGGCCCGATAACTACGCAAATTCGTTCGCTGCTGATGCCACAGCCCATGAAGGAGCTGCGTGTCAAGAATGCCTATGTGGAGTACAAGGAGGTGAAGGCAGCTCAGGGTGTCAAGATAGCGGCCAAGGATCTGGAGAAGGCAATTGCTGGCATCAATTTGCTCATTGCGCACAAGCCGGATGAAGTCGAAATATGCAAGTGGGTGAAACGAACTCTAATATAGTCTATTATAGCCGATCCTCCCGTATAGTCCATTTGCTGATCTATTTCATTCCTATTTACAGAGAGGAAGTTGCCCGCGAACTGAAGAGCGCTTTAAGCCACATCAAATTGGCTCAATCGGGCGTCTATGTGCAAGCCTCTACGCTGGGCTCCTTGGAAGCTCTGCTCGAATTTTTACGCACTTCAAAGATTCCGGTAAGTGAGCCTAGTTAAGTTACAAACTTTGTCAGACTATACACCTAGTTATTGTGTAAGAGGGAAACATTGATAGGTACGACAATGCGTAGATAGTTTAGACGACTGCTGATAGATGACGTGAATTTAAAGGCTGAGAAATTGCTGAACGATTTAATATCGATATAAATGCAATAAGTTATCGATCATCAGACTTTATCAGCGTGTTTTTTAAGAATATCTAAATTCTTATAGTTGTAATACATAAGGGCAAGACAAATGAACAAACAGAGCTACCTGGACCTAAAGATCCTTTATGGAATATCGATCATGCCTGCTTGTCTGTATAGTCTCTAGTTTGATCTAGATCCTTTATGATCATATCCGCTACTTGGCCTTATAATAACATCCTTCATAAGATATTTGTATAAATCTAGACTCGCATACCCTTATAGATACTTTTACCTATATAGATGATTATGCCTATATTTTTAAATCCATACAGAAAACTGATAATCAAAGAAAACTATAATCAAAGTGTTCAATCAGCCAACAAATTGGCCACAAATAACTTATTTATGACTTGCTTTTTTTCTTTTTGAATTTATTTTGAAAAACAAAATTTTTTGTGAAATATGGCAACAAAAAGAGAAAGTTGTAAATTGTCGTAGGAAAAAGTATTTTTGGAAAATTATGAGTGCATGAGGCGATGGCGACGACGTCGGCGGTGTCTGCCTAAACCTCAGTGACCAGATTCCCCGATTCGCAGTGCCACGAGCTGCACAGCTCCACAGCTCCCTATCTCCCCAGTTGCTAGTCGCGAGTTGCGTGCCGCCACCTGCGTTTCCGTCTCCTTCGGTTGCTTAGACCGCGGTGCACAGCTCGCAGTTTGCGTAGCCAACGCGGCAGACAACGTCGACGTTGTTGGCGTAAACATAAAATGTATTTTTATAAATGCAGTGCAAATAGTTGCAACAACATTAGCGACAACAACAGCAATAACAAATAACAACTAGAAACCCGGCCACATTCGGAATGATTCATGCAACAAGCAGCCAAAAGGCGGGCGCATAGCCAACAACACGCACTGCCCCATCCAAAAGAGCCAAAGCATCCAATCTTCTGTACACCCCCCTCCCTCGCAACCCCAACCCCTCCAATGGCGAAAAGATTGAAAATCAACTAAAAATACTTTGCGCTCTATATATATATTTATATAGATGGAGACATGCTATATATGCAGCTACTTATATATAATTATATGTATACAAATTTATCAATATATAGGCATATATATGTGTGTAACTGAATGATTATGGCAGCTTTATAGATATATATTGTTTATATGTGTATATAAACTTTCATGAATGAATTCTTAACATTGGCTATTTGATGCCTGGCTATTTGATGCCAGCCAAAACATTTTCTATATAATCACATATATATACATGATATATACATCATATATATATATACTACATAATCTTTATTGGCATTTTTTGTTTGTTTTTGTTAAAGAACACGTTTGGTGTTCAAATTGATGCCAGGCAGCGGAAATGCTCAGCGGAAGTAACAAAAATAAATAGAATTTATAGCTTTCTGAATATTTATATATATAGACATACATAGGTATAATATGTCGACAGTGTAATCAGATATTTCTGTTTTTTTATTGTTATTTCTTATTGCATTTGCAATTTTTATTGAAGAAATGTATCGAGAACTACTTGTATAACAGTATAACAGTTATTAGTATAAAAGTCCCAGTAATAAAAGCCCCAAAAATTATTGTATAAGAGTACCATTAAAGTTAAAGCTTAAATACTGCCAGTATAACAGTAACAGTTTAGCAGTTATAGCATAACAGTACCATAACTGTTATACTATATAAAACTTTTCTTTTTAAATTCCATATATAATCGTTTGGTGGTCAATACTTTACTTTATAGTGTTACTACTACTATATATATATACGTGGAAAATAGTAAAACGACTTTCCATATTCCAATTCAATATTTAATTTACTTTTAGTTTGTTTTAAGTGGTAACTGAAACTAGTCTTGGCCCACAGACCGAGAATCGACTCAATTAGCTAACACTACAAGCTCATTAGGGGCAGCCCACATGCTTTGTAGGGTTTCCCACAGTCTCATCAGCACATTTTCATCATCTTTTTATGCAGGCAGCAGCGAGCAGTTTTCCCATCATTGCTGCAAAGTCTCCAAATTCAAGTCTAAAGCCGATTCCAAGACGCCAACGCAATGGAGGCAACAACTATGCAAATTGGCTAATAAAAGCTTACATAATGCTAGTCAGAGGCGTATAACAGTTGACAAAAACACTCTTTGTGTGGCAAGTAAAGTGGAACGTTGTTGTGGCAGGTGATTAATTGTCATCTCAGCTATTCAATGTAAAACATTGAGATGAGTTGAGATCTCTAGAGTGGAAGCTGCTTACAATGTAATCCAAAGTATTATAGCTTAGATATTTAATCTACTATATAGTGATACCTAGTAATACCTAGTATAACATCAAGAAAATAACAGGAAAAATCTTTGGCGATGCCCAGAATCCAAAGAATCATACTCTTTGATCAAATAGGAATCACGTGTGGAATTCAAAGTTTGACAAACTTATCACGCCTGCTTGAAATGCAATTTGATACAGGATAACTTTTCTTCGAGCATCTAATTTGAAATTTGAGATAGGGTAACTTCACTTCTAGCATAGCCGCCCTAAAGGCCACTCACATGACTTAGTTCGTTTTACACATTTGGAACGCAAAAATTTGTCGCCGTCAACTTTTTTTGCGTTTGCATCAAAAATCAATTATGGCAAAATGTCGGACGGACTGACAGCGTGACACCCGGCCGGACGACGGACAGCGAGCGGCTTGATTGCCATTCATTCATTCATTCATGACTTGAATTGAGTTCGGTTGAGTTGAGTTGAGTTGAGTGTGGGCTATGTGGGTAGCGGGCCGGCCGGCTATGTAACAAGTTCCGCCTTCGTTTAAGCCAAATTTAGTAACTAACTAGCGCCGACGCAAATACCAAATGTCACTTGTCAACTATTTAATTAACTCTAGCAGAGGGTACATCAGTTAGAAAGTGCATTATGTAACACGATGAAGTGTTATGCTTATGAATTCATTATGAATAGTTATTATACTTATGCTCGTATTACAGTTATACAGTTACACTTTTGGTATAGTTTTTATAGACTTATACAACAAGAACTGGATTGCTTTGTATACCCAGTTAAACTGTTATATTTATGTATAATAAGCTATAAGTTATACTAATTAGTTAAACTGTTCTAACTCTGTTCTACTCTCAAGTAAAAGTTAGTTGTCTATACAGTGTTATACATAGATACTTAAACTGTTATACTGTAAGTAACAAGCTTTACTTAAACTGTTATGAAGTTTAACATTTCATTCATATCTTCTACTCGTATGTAAAAGCTTAATTGTTATACTCAAACCTTGCTATATATAGCTACTAAATTTGTTATACAACTAGTTCTTCTTCTTCCACTCTTAAGCTTAATGAGCTTTTTATAGAGTAGCTCGCGCTCTCATCGAGAAATTCGTATATGGCATTAATATCACAACAGATCAAACTACTCAATATATATGCATATAGTTGTTTATCTGAATATGTGTTTGTGTATTTCATTGGGATCCAGTAATTATTTGATGCACCCACGCTATGAAATACTAACAGGGATTCCAATTTATATTGGCTCTGACCAAACTGACCGGAAATTGTCATTTAAGTGTCTTGTGTGTGTTTGTTGTTGTTGACGGCAGCCAAAAAAAAAACAAAAAACAAAAGATAAATAAAATAAAATACGTTTTTCATTGATTTCAGACACATTGCCATTCGCGTTAAAAAGTCGTTTAGGTTTAATTTACGGCACAATGTTCGAGCCGAAAACAATCGACACTTTAAATAGATACAACAAGTTGGGCGAGAGAGTGAGTGCGGCTCTCTTTTTGATGAGCTCGGCTTCAATTGATGGACTGCTTGTTGCTCTCTCGCTCTGTCTGGCTTGAGTGCTCATTCATCATTTCGTTGAGCGCATTTCATATGGCAACAATAACCAGCTCTGCAAGTGTCGCCAAAAAACTGAAACACACGCTTCACCAAACTAATAAGAAGAAGAAAAAAGAGCACACGCAGCAGACAGGCAATAAATTGTATGGAAAACAAATCAATTACACACATACATACATTACTCTCTCTCGCTCTCGCTCGTCTACTCTTTATTTCGTTGTGTTGCGCACTCAGCTGCTGGCACTTGCGCTCTGCTTAATTGCAGCCCCCATGATGCTTATTGGCTGTTGGGTTTTTGTTGTTGCTTTTTTTCATTTCTGTTGTTTCATTCATTTTGGCAGACAGTTTGCTTGTTTGTACACTGAACAGAAGCTCTCCCTCTTTCTGTCTTTCACGCTCTCGCTCGCTCACTCGCACGCACATCTGCTCGCGTACAATAATTCATTTTATTGATCAAATAAACATTTGCTATACATTTCTATAAATTAAACACGACGCGGCAGGGCGTAACGGCATCAGCATCAGCAGCAGCAGCCGCGCTTTCTATTCATAAAAATTAATTGCACTTGTTGCTGTCTGCCTGGCTGCCCATCTGCCATCTTTATCTTGCAGGCCATGTGTTTAGCGGGGGCGTGCGTCACATAAACACACACATGCAAACACATCCATATACAGATATACACACTTACGTCGAAGATTAACATAATTCACTTATAATAGCAATACGCACAATATTTATACAAATAACAATAATTCATTAGCAGCCCCTCAATTTAAATGGTTTCGCGAATTTCACACCCAAAGGCCATTAACCAAAAGCGTTCTCAAATATGAAAACCGCTACAAAATACAATGGAAAAAATTTAAGGTTAAAACGGTATGTCTTTGTGTGAACATGTGTATGCATCTATATGTTTGTTGAAGTAAAATATGCTCATGTCATTCTTTGACTTCCTTAAATTCTCTCTAATCCTCGTTTCCTTTTCAACATTGAGCTTCAGCCTAGTTGTAGTTCAGTAAGAGGGTGGTCTTACAAGTTGTTAAATATGCATATACGAATAAACTACTTATGCGCAGTTACAAATACTGATATTGTACATGTTGTCAAGAGGAAACGCAATGATTTGAGTAGTGACCCACATAGTCGTATCTATGTATATGCTCAACACATTAAAGCAGGAAATCGTATTATGAGCAACCACTTCATTTTTATGGCAGCCCTCCTTCAACTAGTATGCATTGCCATCAAATTTTCGGACGCAGATTTATGGTGCGCAGTGTATTAGCTTGCAATATACATATACATATATATTTTTTTTTTTTATTATGAGACACCAAAGACAACGCATACATGGAGTAACCACAAAGAGAGAGGGAGAGAGAGGAAGGCAGGGAGAGCTTTTGGTGCAACGTTTGTGTGCATTGCAGTTGCTGTTGCAAGCACCGTTATGCAATTGGCCTGCAATCTGTGCTTAAATTCCGTTGCCAACTGCGGCTTCATTAACATTAGTCTCTCGTTGTCGTTAACAACCAAATATATCGAAGTCGTAGTCGTCGCTAGCCAAGCTGCCATTCATAAAAAGCTGCGTTTGCTTATACAACTCTTTTCTTTTTTTGCTTTGGTAATGGTATTAGTATACCCACACAAACACACACATATGCACAAATACATGTACACAAGCAACACCCGCAACAACTAAACAAAGTTTCATTCATGCCAACAATTTTTTTTCTGTGTGTCTGTTACTTTTTCTTCTTCCTCTTCTTTTATGAATGAAAAATACGTAACAAGCAACTAACTCGGAGTCTGTTAGCTCGTCCGTGACGTTTTTCTTTCATGAATGAAAAATTGCGCAGAAATAACCACACACACCACCACACACAGCAATTCAAGACAAGAAAGCAAAAACTTGAATGTGCCAAAAAAAAGAATGTATATTAGCAGAACAAGCAAATACGCTGCAAAATGTAACATGATATAGTAAAGAAAATAGAGAGAGTGATAGAAAGCTAAGAAAATAAAAAGGACAGATAAAGAGTATGAGCAGAGAAGGAGAGAGAAAGCGCCAGCTTCAATGCTGTTATTCAACAAATTGGGTGCTATAGCTAAGCTACTTCATATAGAGTATAAGTGAAAACGCATGCAACTTGTGAATGGCTGCCGTTGAGTTAGTTTTGTTTAATTCAGGTATTTGGGCAGTAATTGTAATTATGCAGCCATCAACTAAGTCGTTGTTGTGTTTTTGCTAGTGTTGTGGCTACTTTTGCCATAATTGTAAGTCGCTGTTGCTGTTGCTGCTGCTGCTTCTGCGGGCGACGACGTAATGGAATATCAGCATTGGCTACATGGTAGGGGCTACATACATGCATACATACATACGTACATATATATGTAAGTACGTAGATACGTTGTTATGGTAGTGTAGGTAATTTGATTCCCCCCTATGCATTTTAATTAAAAGTCAACAACACTCACACAGACATTCACACTCATAGCAAGTTTCGCAAGTCGAGGCACTCGGCCATGCTTAGCGCGAAGCGTTGGCAACAATTTGTAATCGAGACGTAGTTGCATGCAAATATGCGAATGCAACGACGCCCACAACGAAATGCAAAATCAGGAGAATATGAAGAAGAAGAAGCAGCAAAAGCCAGCTGAAACAGCAAATTAATTACTCGTCTCGCAATTCTAACAATTGTTGCTGCTACTCAAATAACGTAAAAAGCAAGAGAAAAAAATAGCTAACACCAGTTTAGGCAATAAGAAGGAGAATGTCAAAAAGAAGTGCGCAGCAACAACAATGAAAAGAAAACGGTTAAAAAGTGTGATCCATTTTACTGCCAGCAACTCAATTAGCTGTCTCGTTCTAGCTCTAACTCAGGCGTTGTCTTCTACACTTCGCTCCTCTGTTTTGTTTTTTTTTTTCACTTTCTTACTCCATGGCGCATTCATTGTATCGCTGAATTTAATGAATGAATTTAATTTTGTGCGCTTTTTCTCATGTTTTTGCGGCATGTACTATATATCTACATATAGGCACTAAAAGAATGAAAGGAAGGAAGTGCGCGAAGAAGAAGAAGTGGACAATGCCAACGTTTTCATTAATGCGACGTAGTTGCTGCCAAGAACAGAACAAACAACAAAAACAAGAACGTCAATATAAAAACAAGCAACAAAAAAATAAAAGGGAAACTAAACAAGGTTATGGAAGAGCAAATACCCTGGCAGGGCAACTGAAAGAAATAATGTATACCTACGGTTCAGTATAGAAATTAAAAATTATTATGAGAAACATCTTTATGTAGTATATATTTAAACAAGAAAAATAGATTTGCCCTCTATTTTGAGCAGTCGAAGCTAAATCCTACACAAGCATCACATATAAATTGCTTGAGTTGGAATACCCTTTGCAAGCGTAAAAAAGAAAACAAATGAATGAGTGAACCAACAAGCAAATGAATGAGTAAATGAATGAATGAGTAAATGTACATTCGTTCAAATGAAAACAAAAAAGCAACGATAACAACGGAAGTAATTCTTCCTGCATCGTAGACACACACACACATACACAACAACATTTTGAAGAGCTTATTGCTTAATGTTCATTCATAAACACGTTGCGACCGCATTTTTAATGAAATCAACAGCGCGAAGGAAGTTGGCCCGAAATGTAGATAAATAGATGTGCATAAGAACGGAAGTCTTGACCGGAACGTGCAGACCTAAACACAGGGGGATAGCAAAGCAATAAAAAAGAACAAACTATAAAAAAACAAAATCAAATAAAATAAGCAACGCAATTATTCAATTTGTTGAGAGACGAACATTGTCTTTGGCTGGCACTCAAGCCGTAAGCCTTGTCAGCGAACAACCCTTGCCCTCTGACCATGCCGAGAGCGTGCTTAAGTGCTGACGTCAGCAATGCGTTTGCAGGTGTCAGTTGACCTTTTACCTTTGGCACCCGTACATCGTATCGATGTCGTGCGTTTTATTTAATTAGCTTTGCGGCTTCTCTTACGCACTTCCTACGCCCACAACCACTTTATTTTTGTGTTTAGGGTAACTTTATTTGCTGCGTCAGAATTTGAAATTTGATTATGGTTCAAGAGATATTGCGTTTGGCATTTAAATGTGCGTAATACCTATTGAAATGTAAATATATTTTTATTAGGATTTTTATAATCTAATTTCTTAACTCTCTCTATCTGTCTCTACTTCTCTTTCTTACAGTACTCTGCCATTCGCATTGGTCCCGTGGTGAAGCGCGATGTGATGAAGGCTTCGACAATGTTGGAGCATGAGGCGCAGTAAGTTAACCAAATATACTAAATCCTTAACGACTCTAAGCGGAGGCCACAACATTTTAACGATCTGCAGTCCATTTATAAGCAGCGGCTACATATCATTATTATATCAGTTGCTGGAGACAACAATGTTGCATTCAGCGAACAATTCAATTTTATTGCAGCTTAACTTTATTAACACCAGCGACTGGTCATTCCCCATCCTCCCTCGTCTTCCGCTCGCTTCGACACCTAAAAGAACAAAAGACTTATAAACAATGTGCAGTGCGGCTCTTTGAAGAGCGTGTCTGATATAGCCGACATGGACTCCGAGTGGCTGTGGTTGCTGTGGGTTAAGTGATTCATTTAGCGGCAATCAGAGAATGCACTTTCCTTTCCACTGCCTCGATGCCCGATGATTTATTGTTGTGCGCGACAGATACCCTTTAGGAAAATGATGCCTTGACGGCGGCTTTATCTCATTAGAGTTACTTTTGCAAATAGCCGAGTCGCTGCCCCTGAATGAGAAGTTTCCAATTGCAGCGACAACTATTTTTGTGCTCTGCTTAGCAACAACAAAGCGAATGCAGATGCACAGAGAGAGAGATGCATTTGCAGCTAGAGTTGCACTTGGGCATACATTTGCAGCTTCAGCTTCAGTATAGATACATTTTCACTAACAGATATTTTTGAACTTACAGATACATTTGCACCTACAGATAAATTTGAGTCTGCAGATACAGTCGCTACTACATTCGCAGCTTCAGATACATTTGTGGCTATATTAGCTCTTGCAGATACATTTGCAGTTATACACAGATAATTAAATAGCTTCAGCTTCAGTATAGATATATTTTCACCTACAGATACATTCGAAACAACGTTCGCAGTTTCAGATACATTTGTGGTTATATTTGCAGTTGCAGATACATTTGTAGCAACAGTTGCATATATATTTACAAAACGTTCAGCCCACACGCTCACATTACTGCATCACATGAGGCGAGAACTTCAATAACAATAAAATAGAATTATGTAGTTATGCAGATACAAATGTATCTGAATGCCACATTTGTATCTGCATATCAACGCCCATGTAATAGACGTGTCGTTTCCGCTGCCAAACATATCCGGCCCTTTGCGCATGCGCAGCCATTTGAGTTATTTATGCATTTGCAAAGCACTCACCCATATGCACCTCTCCTCTCTCTCTCACATTCTTTCACTTTGCATTGCTTTTGAGTGAGCCAGAGTTTGAAGCTATAAAGTTTCGCAAGCTATAAACTTAATATTTCATTTGTACGAAGCAGTGTAACTCACTCTCCGATTTTTCTCCTCTTACTCTCTTCCACTCTCTTTTCTGCTCCTTTTTCTGTCACTCTCTATCTTTCAAATTTGGAGTGCTTTCGCATGAGTGAGTGGCAGACCATAAACTCAATATTACATTCAAACTAAGCACTGCGACCCACCCCCCTTTTCACTCTCTCTTTTGCCCGCTCTTCCGCTCTGCGTGCGCTCTCGTGTGAGCGAGACAGCGCATGCACTCGCTGGCAGGCTATAAACACAATATTACATTTTTACTATGTGTTGCCGTTTATTTATTGATGATTCTTACGCGCGCGGAATTTTTAACCATAAAATTTTGCTTTTTACGCTGCAGGTGATCACGAAATTTGTGTTCTTCTTCTGTTTTTTTTTTTTGTTGATTTTTTTTTTAAGTATCTTCCCTGACAACGATGATGATGATTCCGTCCTTGGCTGTCCACATTTATCTTTCCACAAGCATCATAAAAATAACTTTAACTGTCTTTATGGCAACTCTTACACTGTGAGGCAACATAAAAAACATTTAACCACCCAATGCGAAAGATCAGCTAACAATGAGTTTTATTTATTAATTTAAACTTTTCCTCTTTTGGAATTTCTTTAAGCTGATTTGGAATTTTCGAAAAATGTTTATAGACTAAATAAATGGAATTCGTATAGTCTGTAAAATGAAAGATATTTTAAAATGAAAGACTTATGCGAGGATCGCATAGAAGGCCTTCCCAAGCACATCCAAAGCTTACCCCAATCATTCTGTTATGATCTTAGCTATTACTTAACACTAAGTCATAAATAATTTCCAAACAATTTTCCAAAAAAAAAAAAGAAAGAAAACCTTCTCGAGTTGTTCAACAATTTGTGGAACCTCCCTTGTCGGCTGACTCCAAAAGGTGGCACGTATCGACTTAATGCCAACTGTTTCCTGTCTTTGAAAGCACGTTGACCATACAAGAAGACGAAGTAGAATAGACGCCGGCTTCTACTTCTTCTTCTGCTTTTTCATTTCAATTATTGACGCTTCCTGGCGCTGTTCGACATAGTCAAAGACAGGAAAACCCAAATAGTTACTGATATTTGATGATGATGATGATGATAATTATAATTATAATTGTAATGGAAGATGATCATTTGTTATAGATTTAATTGGCCAACTCTTTCTCGTTCTACACTCCATAGATATGCAACGATCTTGGCATTCGATGTGAAAGTGGAGCGCGAGGCACAGGAAATGGCCGATTCGCTGGGTGTCAAGATCTTCCAAGCGGACATTATCTACCATCTGTTCGACAAGTTCACCAGCTACCGCGAGGAGTTGAAGCAAAAGAAACGCGAAGAATTCCGATCAATTGCCGTCTTTCCATGCAAACTAAAGGTGAGTCAAGATTTTGAAGAATGTGGGAGGTATTACATATATCACTATATGATCTCTTGATTGTCAAAAACTAATCTTAATATGATCAGACGGGGTAAATGGGAGAAACTTTTATATCGTCTATATTTCCGGAGCTGCGATCAACAAGATGAATGATCTTCTCTATAGATAGATCTATATTAATATGTGTATATATGTTGCTCTCTTGATCGAAACAGTAATTACACCAAAAGCGAGCTACAGGTGTAAAATGCAATCAGCTCGCTTTTGTGGCTGACTGCAACTGCTGCTTGGCCTAGGCCTCTCAGTCTTTCAGTCCTTCTCTCTCTTGCGCTTGGCTAATGATGACCAAGCAGGTGAGCCAACGACTCTACGAGCGATTAAGGCCTGTTTGGTGAGACGCTTGCATCACGTCCACACTTCCTGCTCAAATAATGTTGAAAATAGCATATTTGATTTATAGCTAATCATTAGGTTATAGTCGCATTCAACAACGACTCGGACTGCCGTCGACTCGACCCTAGGCACGACGCTGCCAGTCGCCCAGTCCCTGGCCACCGTCTTGTCTCCCACTGTGCTGTTAATTGGGCTCACAGCTGTGTCCAGTTGGCAGACCTTTTCTTGCCTCTGCCTGCTAGCTACAACAACAACAACAACAATGATGTTGTTTAGTTAAGTTATTAACTCTTGCCTCTCACATTCCCATATCATTGCTAGCATTTGGCCCTCTTTGCGATGTCTGCTCCAGGCAAAATAGCATTGGCAACGCTCTTCAAGGCGAACAACACAAATTGCATTCAGCTTGAAAGCGATTAAAAAATTAGTTTTAGATAAGCTTTACATATATATGAATATAGCTAAAATATTGTTACTGAAAATACAGTCTGATTGGTATCTTATTAGCTTTAGTTCTCCATTAAGTAGCTGCACTTTCTAATAAGAAATCAACCGTAAGAAACTTACGCTGGGTTACTGAAGCTCGAAGCTAGCTTTAAGTAGTTGAGTTATCTTATAAGAAAACTTTGCTTAGGAGCTTGTTGATTATTTCTAACATTAATCTGATAAATGATATATACTTAAGTTAAAATAAAGTTATTTGGAATACTTTGTTATAAACATAAGATAAGTATGCTTCAAACTGACAAATCCTTAAGCTTAAGGCACAGATATGTTCACATAAAACTTATATCTTATCTCTTCTTGACCCAACTCTTTACTGATTTCTCTCTTCTATCTTCTATTCGTTCACAGATACTGCCACAGTTTATATTCAACAGTCGCGATCCGATTGTCATGGGCATTATGGTAGAGAATGGAATCGTTAAAGTCGGCACGCCGATCTGTGTGCCCAGCAAAGAGGTAAGTCAGACCGTAGAAGAACTGGCCATGTCAGGCAAATATTTAGCTATTTTGCAAGACAGAGAGACAGCGTGAGAGTGAGAGAGCATATCACAAAAGGTGATTCAATGGCAAAGCATTGTAGAGGGTTTCTCGCCTCGAACTATTTGCGACTTGCAACACAATGAAAATCCTTGTTTTCAAAATCGTGTCAAGTATCTAGATACAAAAATTGTGCGTATCTCTTGCTGTATGTGCGTGTGTGTGTGTGCAGGGTAAGGGCCCATCTTTATAAACTGCGTCGTTTCGGCTTTCTGCTTTGGTTTTGGTATCCAGCTCAGAGGCTTTTTTCATTGTTGACACAGGTGCTCGTTGCTCGTGTCTGCTACATTTGGTATTTGTTGTTTATTTGCCAATGCTCTTGTGATGCAATTGCGTCTTAACAGACACACACACGCAATACATAATACAGTGAAAACTATGTGAAGTGGACAGCTGAACTGAGTGGATAGTGCCCTGAGCTGGACAAGCTAAAATTACTGAATATGAAATAAGAATTTTCATTAAAGAAGAAGAGAAATGGGAAGCTGAAATAAGTAAATTGTTGTGTATAAACGGATCTATTTATTTATAAATTTATAAATTTTGATGATTATATAAAAAATAGAAATAAATAAATAATAAATCCATAAGATTTTAGATTTTTAAAAGAAAGATTATTTAGATAACTTCTTTAAAGAACACTTCATTATTGTATGACAGCTTCTCTTTTCTCTATTTCATATTATCCAAGCTCAGACTTGCCATAAGTTTAGCTATTCTCTCAGGCCAAATATATTGCCTAACGCGCTACAAATATTTAAGCGCAGCCAACTTAATGCTGTGCCGCTGTAACAGCTGATGCTGATGCTGATGCTGATGCTGAGGCATGTAAAAGCAACCGCATTCTGTACTAATTTATGCTTATCTCATGAATCAAAACGTAGATTAGATTGAATTGCGAATGCGAATGAGAATGAGAATGAGTGCTTCAATTAATGTCCTTCCGCTGTGGCTGGACTCGACGCGACTGCTGGACTGGCTGGCGTTCAATTTATGCGAAGACATGTCCTGTTTCCCGTCAGCGTCAGCCAGAGGAGACAACAATAACTGTTTCCTCTCTGCCACAATCACAAACAAAAAACAACCAACAGCAACGACGACAACTTGAATTGGCTACTGCGATCTTTTTTTTTTTTTTTTTTTTTTGCAAAGGGTTCGAACATTCTGACTGCCTGCCTGCCTGGCTGCCTGTTGCAGGGAGGGAAGACGTACGCAGCGCAGTTGGATGGATGGAACGCTTGGACAGCTGGTTCCCCTCGTTCTGGCGTGGCAATCTCTTAGTCTGGGCTGGTTGGCTTCATTGGCAATTATAACTTCCTCAATTATCCAACGGAGCGCAGCTAAGCTGTGCGCTTCCCGTCATTCATCGTCATTCTTTTTAACATTTTCCTCCTTTTTTCGTCTCTTCTCTCTGCAGCAGCAGCAGCCGCAGCAACAGCTCTTTCTAAAGTTAAATTCATACAGATTTTCTGTGCTGTTTCTGGAGTATTTAATACCCTACGTGGGCCCCCTGAAGCAGGTTTAATGGGATCAAAGTTGTGAACAACTTCTTGAAATTATCGATAAATATCGATTGACTTCGTGTTTTGTACAATAATGCTCTATGCGAGTCGTACATTTGATTTTGTGGCTTGAAATTAACTAAACATTAAATATTGTTGCTTCAAACTTATCGATTAATATCGATTACCCTATTGATTTGTACTCAAGTGCTCTCTTTGGGTCAATAACTTGATTGAGCTGAATTTAAATGAGCTAAAAATATGTTGCAGGTGTTGCAAAGTTATCGATAAATATCGATATTTCTAATTTTGAACTTAAAGCGGCATGCTAACTTCGATTGCTTCAAAATTATCGATTATATTAGCAATTATTTTTGATTCTTCTTATGTTTGAGCATTTTGTAACCTAGACTTGCCCTACATTTAGAGGTGTAGAATTACAAGTTTCAGTAAATAAATTTATATCCTTTAGACTAAGTTTTAGTTTAACATTTAAGCTTACAATTCGTGTGTCGCCTTGCCTTAGTTAGTTCACTTTTATATTTATCGATTATCGATAGTCATACCTGCCGCTTTGTAGCTCATCTGCTGAGTCTGTGCAGCCGCTGCTTTGGGGACTACCAGAACATGTGAGTTCTCCCCATCCTCCCCAATCAACTCTACTTTAAATGTGCACGTTTTTTTGCTGCTTTTGCTGCCAAAGAATGCGAACGAGTGTGTATAGACTGTTGTTGTTGTTGTTGCTGTTGTCGTCGGTTTGTTGTTGTTCCTTTGCCTCGCGATTTCCGTCAACTGGCAAGAGGGGTCCCACTTCCTTTGGAGCGGCCTCAACTGGTGCGCGTGCGTGTCAGCCGTTCGATACGTTGTTTAACTGCCTGCCAGATGGTCGCTCGTCGCAGCAGACCTTGGCCCTAACATTGATTGCCTTTATTAATTATCTAATTAAATCTGTAATGACAGTGGCTTAACCACTTGCACGCCAGCCTCGGCTCCACTCTGAGCCCCATTTGCAGTTCGGTTTCAGTTCCAGTTTCAGTTCGCCTTTGTTTCGAGTGCCGCGTAATTGTTTGCTGCGCACCAACCCAAAAACTTCCGTTCCCAAGAAACATTTACAACGGCCAAACAACTGATGAGCTACTTGGCCAACTGGGTCCAGCCCAAAAACCACTTCCACTTCCCGTTCCAGTGGTGTACGATCGATAGCTGCAACCCTTAACCTGAGTTCAATTGAGGTTCGCAATCAGCGGAGACAGACAAAAGTCAAGAAGCGGCCAAAAGAAATTCGAGCTGCACAAAAAGTTGTGCAAGGGTTAATCTGGGTAAATTAGGGTAAATTTTGTGCATCATTTAAGGGTTCGAAGGGTTGAGTTTTGTCGTCTGTCGGCGGAGTAGGCTAGCGATCTATTAGGTTACAGTGTTACAGGCTACATATCGTATATATATAAATCAGAGATCGTGAATGTCTCTGATCTTAGACAGCATTAGTCCTAAAAAGGGGAACAAATTAAACAAATTCTAAGTGATAAAGGCTTGAGCTTTGGTGCATGCTCCAAGGCATATTCATGATCAGCTAAATCTGCAGCTTAAATCATGTGAAACACATATACATATATGCCAATTACAGCATATCTGTTAGTCGCACATAGCCTGCCTGCCCAGTTTTTCTGATTTTCTTTTTCGCCGACCTGCGAATAGCGAACGGAAGTTGGAGGCGTTACTCAGCGCCAAATCCGACAAACACTTCACATGTGGCCAATGTGTGTGAGTGTACCTGTGTGTGCGTGTGTGTGTATCTGCATATCTACACACTATCTGCATGCCTAGCTGTCTGTAGTAAAAAAAGAGTTAAATAGTCTTGCTCACTTCTTGGCAAAGTTTATTAAAGCGCAAACGCCTCGAGAAAGCGAAATTTAGTTTGGCTTATTTTAAAAACTTGTTACAGATGATGAGATCTACATATTTCTTATATATTTTTTTATACATTAACATATTGTATATCCATTAATGTATGTCGCTCGAAAGGGTATGATGCGCTGGGATAAATCCAGTTGAAGAACAGCTCAACTAGCGAAGAGGTTCCTACTGAGGCGAGAGCTCTTTGTTACTACGGCTACTTATAGTATTTTAGCTATTATTATTTTCGCTCGAACTGTATTCTACTACTATTTTGAGTTATGCAACTACTACTTTAATGTCAACTACTATTTTGAGCTATACAACTACTACTACTATTTTCATTTATGCGAATACTACTACCATATTTATACTACTTTATATTTTGCTACTATATTTCCAGTACTAGCTTTGCTTATAATACTATGACTACTATATATCTACTACCATTCATTCTTTACTGAGCCACACTTGATATATATTATATATAATATGAATAATATATAATATATATTATATATAATATGAATTATATATAATATATATTATATATAATATGAATTATATATAATATATATCAAGTGTGGCTCAGTAAAGAAATGAGCTGCTATCTCTTATAGGTTACTTCCATTAAAATGCAGGGTAGCTACTAGTCAGGCATTCTTAATGAATTGATTTTAATTTGGCTGCGGCTGCTGCTGCTGTCATTTGTTAGCCGTCGAGCGGGCTCCTGTTCGGGCAGCTACACTGGCTACTCAGCTACTCGTTTTCAGTTGTTGTCGCTTGTTTTTTTGGTGAGAGATCGAAGAGTCGATCGATATCTTTAATAATTTCATTCATGCCTCGAGTCGACGCTGAACAACACTCAAGTGTTATTGCTGTTGCTGCTGTTGTTGTAGCGGAAATGAAAGCTTATTCAACATGCTGTTGTTGCCGCTGCTGCTGCTTTTTTCATCTGTTAATTAAATGCCTCGGGTTGAATTGAATTTGCTTTTGTATGGCATAGTAGCCGAGGCCGTGGCCGTTATCCCTTTTTGTTCGCGCCTCAACTCCTGCCCAGATCTTTTGCTTAATTCATGGACTCGATGAATACGAGGGACGCCCCTCTTTGTAGCGGAAATCGTAGTGCTTAGCGCATGTGCCGTCGCATTTCAAGTAAAGATTTTCAATTGTTAAGCCTAAATGGGCGTACGACTTCCGTTTGTCGCCCTCGGGCTGAAGGGTAGAGTAAATGAGAAGTCGTTATGAATTTTGATTCGATTTGATGGCGAGCAAAATGGGAAATAAATTAGAATTTATTGAGAGATAAATCAATTTTTTATATTATCAGTTTTTTATATATTTTATACAGAAAACTTTGTATCTATAGCTTTTACTATGCCAAGATTAGTCACTCATTCATAGAGTATATGAATCAGAGTTCTAATCAGAGCTAAAGTTGTCTTATCAGAGTTAAGTTTCTTGTACAAAGAGCAGCTGCTTTTAAGGGTATCTGAGCTGTCGACTAAGAGACGACGCCAACGA